GGAAGTTCAAAGCTAGCCTTAACAATTTAGCAAGGCCCTAAGCAGCTCAGTGAGAACTTGTCTCTAAATAAAATATAAAAAGGGGCTGGGTCCTGCAATCTGTACATGTGGGAAAAATAAGAATTCATACCCCATTTGAATCAAATGTATGATATATAATATGTCAATATCATTGTAATGTTTTGAGCAACTAATTAAAAAAAGGGGGGGGGTGCTGGGGATGTTGCTCAGTGGTTAAGTGCCCCTAGGTTCAATCCCTGGTACCAAAAACAAAACAAAACTTGTGAACCCAAACAATATTTTTCTCTTTATAAGTTGATTATCTCAGGTATTCTGTCATAGTAACAGAAAATTGCCTAATATGTAAAACACTAGGGCTTCTTTGTTTCAAAAAAGCATCATTCTCTTAGTTGATAAATAGTTATCAAACATCTATAGATAACATCAGAAATTTTAAAATCTGAGCAATTTAAAGTGTCATGGAGTATTTTATGCTAGAAACATTAAAATAAGATAGCAAAATACTTTTTAAGGACTTCAGTGGGTACAAAAATGAGTCAGACATAAATTCTGACTTCATGAAATTTAGAGTTTTCCAGAAGAGCCAAGTCATGGCTACTGAAGAGTAGCACATTTTTGTTGCTTATTTTAGCTGTTCAATATATGAATCCTCTGGTAAATACCAGAATTCTCCTGTTATGTGAGTCTTTCAGGGAGGCAGAGTCTTGCCACCTGCTATGAAAGTCGAGGAGTCAGAACTCTACCATTTTGACTGTGGGCACATAATCTAGGATGAGACAAATGTTTGTGTCCACCAAGACTATGAATCTTGAACAAGTGATGAAAGATAAAGAATTGGGAGAAGAGATTGCATTGGTTTCTAGACCCAATGTAAGCATAGGGATATGGCATTATTAAAAGTGGTATCATCTTTGGTCTATGCTTCTGTACAGTTGACAGATTACCCCGCCCAACTTTTAGCCTTCCATCATTCTGTGAGTCTCCATCACGTATATGTGTATTTGAAGAAATATACTATCATTTATAAGTCCCTTTAGAGGAATACAGCTCGCCTTCACAAAACAGAGATCATCTTCATGTAAGGAGCTCAGGGAAGCCTTCACTGAGATGTAGCATTTATACTGGGTCACATGACATAGGGTTTGCATCTGGGGAGCCTTGAGGATGGGTGGAAAGGAGTGCGTGTTCAATTTAGAAGAAATGGCATGAGCAATGACAAGGAGACAAAAGGGCAAGGCATTCGTGAGACTAGGAAGTCTAGGATGCTAGATTTAAGGCTTTGAGAATATAAGTAACTTCAAAGATGAGTTAGGGAAATTGTTCCAAAGCTAGAGCCTTCTGCCTTCCTCACTCCACTTCTGCTCCCTTGTTTTCTTGAAGGATTGGTGTTTTTTTAATCGGTAAATTTTATTCATGCATGTGTGAACATTTTGTTCTTATTTCTTTGGGAAATTTCATCACTGCTACATTTATTACAGGTCTGAACAGTGTTTGGGATTCCACTTAAACATGATGAAGTGAGGGAGGGTCATCTGAGGATTCTTTGGCAGATGCAAATCTCCACAGATTATGAAAAGTATTTCTTCCAGTTATCTCTTTATGTGATTGAAATTTGCCTAAAGTAAAAGCAAATTGTTTCTTGTAGCTTATTCCAGAGAGTTTTTAAAAGATATTGACTGTTTTGTGTTTTTACAAAATAAGACTCTGCTTAGACAGATTTCTTTTCACTTAAATCTTTTATTAATATTTTTGTTTGTTTTATGGCTTCTCTGTTCCTTTGTCACCTGCACCCTCATGTGCATACCATGGTTCTGCTTGTGCTGATGACTTGCAATCTGTCTGGTTTATCTTAATTGCCAGCAGGTACAAAGCAATTATAACATTTTACCTGCTGGGATTGCTTGAAATTGCTTGAACCAAGGAAATAGGTACAAGAGCTGAGTTGTCAAGGCCAACAAAATGTGTAGGCAGTATTGATAACATTTATGTCACCTACCATGGGCCCAATCCAAATTAAAGAACCAACATATAGAAAGGCCAAGGAAAATCATAAGTGTACAAACTTCAACTCGGTAAACAACTTCATCTTTCTTGGTCAACTTAGAATATTTGAAATGCAAAGAGAAAGTAAGTGTTACCGACTTTCTGAAAAGCTTTTTCCAAGGATTTCTGGGGAAATAGTAGAGGAAAAATTCATAACTTTGATAAGATAAATCACAACTTCTGGTACCTGTAGAGAAGGGAAGCTATTGTCATGTTTGAAAATGCAGCCACCATAGCATTAAGGGGCTGTAGCTTCCACAAGTGTGGTGACTATTCTCCATAAGGGTTTTGAAAGGGTGAACTCTCAGATCATATACATTGTCTCTATCCTTCCTACATCTCCTGGTTGGGGTTGGGAAGACATTGTTGTGTTTAAAAAAATGTCCAATATAAAATTTAACATTCCAACCCCTTAAGAGTATGTAACTCAGTGTCATTAAGTACAATCACATTGGTGTGCAACCATCACCACTATATTCAGATTTTTTTCATCATGCCAAGCTGAAACTTTATTCTCATTAAATGCTAACTTCCCATTTCTCCCCACTATGTTTTGAATGTACTTTGTCCCTGCCAAAACTTAGGTCAAAATTTAAATGATTGAGTAATGGTATTGAGAGCTAGTAGGACCTATAAGAGGTTATTAGATTTTTTAAGAGGGATTAATGCTTTTACTTAGAAATGAGTTTTTGCTCTCATAGGACTGGACTAGCTAACTTGAGAGCAGGTTTTCATAAAGCAAGTTCCTCTCATCTCTTGTTTTGTCTCTCACACCTGCATACCTCCTCTTTATACATGCTTGCTTCTCCTTTCCCATCTCTGCCATGTTTTGACACAGCATCATATCTCCACCAAAAACTGAGCAGTTGCTGGTGCCTTGCTCCTGGACCGGAGCTCTGAGCTAAATAAACATATTTTCTTTGTAAAATTTCTAGCCTTAGGTATTATGAAAAATGTACTAAACATACTCTTTTTCCCCAGCCCCTGATAACCTCTATTCTCCTTTCTGATTCTAAGGATTTGACTATTCTATATATCTCATATAAGTGGAATCATACTATATTTGTCCTTTGGTTTCTGGCTTATTTTACTTACATAATGTCATAGTTCTTAGATGATATAAAACTTCTTTCCTTTTTGAGGTTGAATAATATTCTACTGTATGTACAGGCTACATTTCATTATGCATTCATTTGCTGATGGATATTTGGTAGTTTCTACCTTCTGATTATTGTGCATAATGCTAATATGAACATTGGTATACAAATATCTGTTTGAATTTCTGCTTTCAGATCTTTGGGGAGTATAACCAGAGTGGAATTACTGGGTTATATATGTTTGAGAAACTGCCAATTGAAACTGTCTTTCATACCAAGTGAACCATTTCACATTTTCACCAGCAGTGTTCAAGGCTTCTGATATCTCTATGTCCTTACCAACATCTATTATTTCCTGTTGTGTATGTGGATTGATAGATAGATAGATAAAGATATATGCAATACTCATCCAATGGGTATGAAGTGATAGCTCATTGTGGTTTTGGTTTGCATTGTCCTAATGGAAAATGCCATTTGACATCTTTTCATGCCTATTGATCATGAGAATATCTTCTTTGGAGAAATGTCTAGTCAGGTCTTTTGCCTGTTTTTGAACTATCTATCCTGGGAAAATTTTTTAAAATTTTGACCTTGGACATTTTTTAATCATTCCATTTTCTAAAGTCAATGGTCACTACTATTAGTCATATTTACTTATTTCCAAGTGAAAAAATTTCACTTTAAACTTAATTGAACTTTGAATACTGATATCTTCTACTCAAATAATTGTGAACTTTACTAATTCTTGGACAAAGCAGATATTCCTAAAAACTATAAGTAGAAGAGTTGTTTTAGTTGCATTTAAAAGATCAATTGGATATATATCACTTATTTGCTTTATCTTGTAAAATTTTTATATTGAGTTGTTTATAAAATATGATATTTTTCGAGAGTAATTTCATATTTATCTCTCTTGGGTTTTTTTTAGTTATACATAACAGTAGAATCCATTTGATATAATTATACAGGCATGAAATATATCTTATTCTAGTTAGGACCCCATTCTTGTGTATGTACACAATGGTGAGATTCACTGTGATGTATTCATATATGTACACAGGAAAATTATGTAAGATTCATTCCACTATCTTTCCTTTGTTTATCTCCCCTCCTTTCCCTTCATTCCCCTTTGTCTAATCTACTGAATTTTTATTCCCCCTCTGCCCCTTTATTGTGGGTTAGCTTCCACATATCAGCAAAAACATTCTACCTTTGGTTTTTTGGGATTGGCTTATTTCACTTAGCATCGAAGTCTCAACTTTAGAGTTATTTTAAGTTTTTAGTTTTGAACTGAGAATAAGTTCAGATAGGTATTAACTGGTTCATTCAGAAATTTCTATGGTTTTCTAATCTAAAGAAGTTCAGGGGAGCAGACGAACCCCATGATTGTTATGATTTTAACTTGAAAAGTGGATGACATTTGTAAGCATAGACCATAAGATAAGCAGCTTCCGTGCCCACACACTCCCACCATGATGTGCTTGCTGCTTTCCCACTAGCTTTTGGGCCAACCAGCCATGGTTGAAAGCTCCAAGACAACACTAGTTTGTTATGTTGTTATGTTATACATTTATTTATTTCCACTTTCCTCCATTAGAATTGTAACTTCATTAGGGCACTAGGGACCTTTCTCTGTCTTATTTTTATCCCTGGTGACTAGTAAAGTGTCTAACAGAAGAGTTACTAAGCATATAATTGGTGAATAAACAAATGAATGGAAAATCTTGAAACTGAAAAAGAAATTTAAAGACTTCCTCCCCTCGCTTGGTATTATAATTTTAAGTAAAACTCTGTATATTAGGTTTTTAGGACTTGTGTAACAAAGGACCACAAAATGAGTGCCTAAAACAATGGAAATTTATTCTCCTACAGTTCTAGAGGTCAGAAGTAAAAAATAAAGGTGTAAACAGGGTTGGTGCCTTGCTCTGACAGAGAATCTGTTCAATCTCTCACTCTTGGCTTCTCATTATGGCTAACCATACTTGGTGTTACTTGGCTTGAAGATGCATCAGTACAATTTCTGCTTCCATTTTCACATGGTGTTCTCCCTCTCATTGCCACCACATCTCTATCTGCTTGTAAAGACATCTGTCATAATGTATGGGGGCCCATACTAGCTCAGTATGACCATATCTCAGTTTAACTAAATTTATGCACAATCACTCTATTTCCAAATAAGGTCTCATTTTGAGGTACTCAGGGTTAGGATTCAACATATATATTTTTGGGAATGGAAGGTGGACAGACCCAATTGGATCCATAACACTCTATAACCAACTGCCTTTAGAACTTCATATTTCATTATTTTAAATATGTCAAGCATATATTTGGCCCTAAGACAGGGCACTGGAATCAAGCTTGTAAGAAATGAAAATAACACAAATGCTTTATTTAAATATGTTACTATTTTGCATAAAATTGATACTTAACATGTTCAGAGATATTTGTTAGTGAGGAAAAAAATTAGTAATAGGTTTTCAGGTGCATTGTAAAACATTTGTAGTTCTAAATAAGACTCATTCTATTCAACATTTTACATTGTTATTCACAGGCAATGAAGGAAAGAGCCTCTTGGTCTTTATTGTTCCTGTTCAGAGATAGCAGGAGAGAAGAGTGTTTTCAAAAACAGAAAGTAAACATCAGATAGGCAATCATTTCAATATTTATAACCAGAAACTAAAACTTGTGATTCCACATTTGCCAGTCCTCCCACATCCCTTAATTGGACAGATGGGTTTTATACTGTGCCCTAAAATATACTGAACTTGACCAGTCTTTATTGTAGTGTTACTTTTTTTAATATTTATTTTTTAGTTATAAGTGGACACAATATCTTTATTTTATTTTTATGTGGTGCTGAGGATCGAACCCAGTGCCTCACGCTTGGTAGGTGAGCACTTTATCTCTGAGCCACAACCTCAGCCCAAATGTTACTTTTTAACCTCAAGTATAGAAATGAATATAGAAGAGTTGACCCTCCTTAAAATATCTTCTGCTTTGATACAGAATTGAGTAACACAATTGCCTTAGTTTCGGAGGGCTGCTGGGACAAACGACTATAAACTGAGTAGCTTGAAACAATGGTAATTTTATTATCTTACAGTTCTGGAGACTAGAAGTTCAAAACTGAAGTGTCAGCATAGCCAAGCTCCCTTTGAATGCTCTAAAAAAAGAATCTATTTCATGCCCTTCTCCAAGTTTCTGGCAGTCCTTGGTGTTCCTTGGCTTGTAAATGTAACATTTAAAGTCTCTGTCTTTATATGGTCTTTGTCCATCCATATGTGTACCTCTAAATCTCCCTCCTCTTGTAAGGATGCCAGTCATGGGATGTAGGGCCCACTGTGATCCTGTGTAACCTTATATTGGTTATATATGCAAAAATCCTGGTTCTACATAAGGTCACAGGTACTAAGAGTTAGACTTCAACCTATCTTTGGAGAGACTCATTGCAACACACTATGATTGTTTTCATTCTTTGAATGAAAGTAACGAAACATACATGCAGCTTTTAAAATTCAATAGTACGGTGTTGCAATAAAGCCAGTAGCTTCCTGTCCCATTATAATACTCTACCATTTTTTTGCTTTGCTAAGGCAAGAATGTCCACTGCTTTTAGTTGTTTCTTAAATGTATTTAGCTCTCCACATTATTAGATCTCAATTTTTTGATATTATCTGTTAATAGTCTACTGTGGAAGATGAAAATGTAGCTAATAACACCCAAATAAATCCACTTTTCATTCTTATTCCTCTTTAAAAGGAAGTTAAGCTGTAACACTATTTTTGTTAAATCAATATCCCATGATTATTTTATATTGAAAATGTGACTTTTATAGAATGATCATATAACGTATGATGATTGCATTTCTTTTCTAACTTTTTTTTCTCAGTGTCAGTAATCAAATTTTTTGGCTTAATTTTCTATGTAGGCATAATAAATTTATTCCCAAACTCTGCCAGACCTCCTCTGCCAGAGCTTCTTTCACTGTTTGGCCACCTCAAGTCATCTCTTAGTTTCATTTCCTCTCAAAGCCATCATCCTGCTCATATGTGGCTTTGCTGTTATCTAGGTCTTCTCTGTAGTTGTGAATCAGGGACTGTCATTCTGGGTACTCCCTTTTCATTTGTCCTGCCTGGAAGTTTCTGTTTGCTTGATTCTAATATTTCCCTTTCTAAATTCCCTCATCTTTCTACAGTACAACTTCTAATAACTTTCTGAGAAAAGATACAGTGGGAGCCAAATACTTGAGTTCTTCAATGTCTGAAAAGTATCTTTCTTCTGCTCTCTCACTTGATAGTTTGGCCAGGTTTACAGATTCCTAAATGGGCAGCCAGAGTCCTTCAGACTTTCCAAAGCTTCATCTCATTGTCCTCTAGCTCCTAGTTTGCTGTTGAGATGGTCTTTGCCATTCTGATCTTCAATCCTCTGTGTGTGACCTGTTTGTATTTCTACTGTCTGGAAGATTTTTTTTGTCCTTTTATTTTGAAGCTTTACAATGATCACCTTGATGTACATCTCTTCTCTGTCCATTATTCTAGGCACAAACTTGATTGTCTCCATCTACAAAATGTATGCTCTACAGTCCTGCTAAATTTTCTTGAATTATTTCCTTCCCATGATTTTCCCAATTTTCTCTTTCTGAAACCATTCTTATTTGAATATTGAACCCCTTGGATTGGGGTTCTAATTATAATGTCTCTTTATCACATTATTTGTATCTTTAATTTTCATTTCACTTTTGGGAAGATAATTTTATTTGCTAATCAATTTATTAAATGTTTAATTTTTATTATTAAAAATTTTAAAGAACAATTTTGCTTTTTAAAAAATACCATCCCATTTTTATATCTCACAACTTTTCATCTAAGACACTGTTTTTTTTTTTTTGTTTGTTTGAAGGGAGTTCTCTATATTATTTCTTTTCTCTGTTCATTTCTTTTTCCCCCCATTTTTTTGGTTCATATTTGTAACATTAGGATTCATTTTGACATAAATGCATGTAATATAATTTGCTCTAGTTCATTTCACAATACTTCCCATCGCCCTCCTCCTTTTCCCATTCCTCTGCCCTGTACTGGTCTTTCTGCTATTTATATACAGTTTTTTTTTTTTTTAAATTAGTGTCTTGTGGATGTACATGATGGTGAGATTCACTGTGGTATATTCATTTATGTACGTAGGAAAGTCAGGTTGGATTCATTCCACTTGTTTTTCCTTATCCTGTCCTTCCTTTCTCCCCCTCAATACCTTTCCTTGATTGCACCAATCTTTCTTCTATTTTGATGGAAACCCCCCCAATTTCTTTTCTCTTTTTTCTTTATTTTAGACTAGTATCCACATAACAAGAGAAAACATTTGACCTTTGACTTTCTGGGTCTGGCTTATTTCACTTAGCATGACAGTCTATAGTTCCATCCATTTACTGAAAAATGACATAATTTCATGCTTCTTTATGTATGTATGTGTGTGCATGTGTGTATATATGTATGTATGTGTGTGTGTATGTGTATATATATATATATATATATATCATATTTTCTTTATCCATTCATCTGTTGAAGGACACCTAGGTTGCTTCCAAAGCTTGGCTATTGTGAATTGTGCTGTTATAAACACTGATGTGGCTATATATCTATAGTATGTTGATTTTAGATCTTTTGGATATATATTGAGGAGTGGGATAGCTGGGTCATATGGTGGTTCCATTCCTAGTTTTTTGAGGAATCTCCACACTGCTTTCTAGAGTGGTTGTACAAGTGTATCTTTTTCTCCACAAACTTGACAACACTTATTATTATTTGTATTCTTAAAAATTGGAAGATTGGAATGAGATGAAATCTCAATGTGCTTTTGATTTTTGTTTTACTAATTGATGGAGATATTGAATATTTTTCATATATTTGTTAGTAGTTTGTATTTCTTCTTTTGAGATGTGTCTATTTAGTTCCTTTGCCCACTTACTAATTGGATTTTTTTTGTATTTGGTTCTTTATTTTTCTGGATATTATAGCCTTATTCTGAGGAGCAGATGGCAATGATTTTTTTCTCATTCTGTAGGCTCTCACTTCATACTCCTTGTTTCCTTTGCTGTGCAGAAGATTTTTAATTTGATACCAACCCACTTATTGATTTTTGGTTTAATTTCTTGAATGTTAGGATCCTGTTAAAGAAGTTGGTTCCTGTGTTAACATGTTGAAGTGTTGGGCCTACATTTTCTTCTAACAGTTGCAGAGTTTCTGGTCTAATTCCCAGATCTTTCATCCACTTTCAGTTGATTTTTGTGCAGGCTGAGAGTTCGGGGACCAGTTTCATTCTTCTACATATGAATATCCCAGTTTTCCCGGTACCATTTTTCAAAAAGGCTATCTTTTCTCCAATGCATATTTTTGGCATCTTTGTCTAGTATCAGTGTTTTAGTCAGCTTTCCACTGCTGTGAACAAAATACCTGACGAATGATTTTAGAGGAGAAAAAGTTTTTTTGGAGGCTCATGGTTTCAGAGGTCTCAGTCCCTAGACAACTGGACCCACATCTTGAGGCTCAAGGTGAGACAGGACATCATAGCAGAACAGCGTGGTACAGGAAAGAAACTGGGACATGCTGCCAGAAGTGTGTGTGTGGGGGAGAGTTCTGCTCTACAAATATAAAATATATTTGGCACAAACCCCAATGACCTACCTCCTCCAGCTACACCTGTCTACAATTACCACTCAGTCAATTCTATCAGGGGATTAATCCACTTTCATAACCCAACCATTTTAACCCTAAACCTCCTTGCATACACATGAAAGTTTGGGGGACACCTAACATCTAAACTGTAACAATTAGATTACTGTATTTTCATGGGTTTGTGTTTCTGTGTCTTCTGCTCTATTCCATTAGTCTTAATATCTGTTTTGGTGCCAGTATCATCTTGATTTTGTTACTCTAATTATATAGTATAATTTAATGTCTGCTATCATGATGCTTCCAACCTAGCAATTTTTGATCTCTCTGTTCATTTCTATCATCTCTTATATTATAAAGTTGTTTTTTCAAATTCTGGTAGTGCTTATTGTTCTTTCATATGTCATATATGTTATTTATAACTCCCTGTGTCTGGGTAGGGTTTACTTAGAATTATGTGTGGCCCCACTCATTTGGATGGAAGACTACCAACTGATAGCACCTATAAAATTTCTGTCTTGGAAAGGTCCACTTTTCTGAAAGAAACTTCCAATCTCTTGCCTGAATCATATAAACTTGGCTGTCAGCAAGAATGCTGACTCTCACTTATGACACCTCTTTTCGTAGGATGCTCTAACTTCACCCTCAGTTATGCCTGGAGAACCCAATCTTCAGTTCATATGAAGAAGAGCAAGTTACCTGTCTACACAGAGTTAGGAAGGAGATTTGAGTGTGGTAATAACTTCAACTGATACTTCTACTTTTTAAGCTCACTTGTATCCTTACTTTCCCAGACTGGTGGAGCCTATATTTCTGAGATTTTTCTGGGTCTCTGGCTAAATGTAGCCTTCTCTACTTTTAAGCTTAAATTTTAGCTTCTGTTTTGTTAACACACATATGATTTGTTCATTCACCTTCAGTTTGCAAAAGATGAATTTTTTATTAGGAATTTCCCAAATAAGAAAGGAATTTTCCTTCCTTTCTCTTTGTTCTTCAGGGTTTGTTTTATTTTCATCTTTCAATGTCAGTTAGTAGAGTTTGGACAGGAAATAGAGATGAGTACATGTATATGTATATGACCTGCTATTTTGGGATAGAAGTCCTTGGATTATTCATTAACATATCTCCATGGAGGTGCTTGTTGATTAGCATTGAGCTACTAAACACTTTCGGAAAACCAACTCTCAGGATAAATTTCCCTTCAGTTGTCTTTTTAATTTCAGTAAATGTTCATTACTCACAATTTACATTTAGAAAATAACTTTGTTATTTGTTTTTGTTATTTAAAAGATAAACATATCATTATAAAATGATATGTTTATCTTTTAAATTTTTGCAAGTAGAATTAAGACAACACAAAAAACCCCCAAAAATTACAATCCTACCACCTCAACATTTTATAGATATACTTTGGAGACTATTTTTCTGGGACATACAGAGCTTTTTTCATTTAAGATTTATCAGGTAAAGAAAATGAATTAGTGAATTAGTCATTTAAAATATTCCCACAATGAAAAGTCCTGGTCCAGATAGTTCCACTAGTAAATCCTGTCAGATGGAGCTGGGGCTGTGGCTTAGTGGTAGTGCACTTGCCTGGCATGTGTGAGGCACTGGGTTCAGTATTCAGCACCTCATATAAATAAATAAAATAAGGTTTATCAACAACTAACTAACTAAATAAATAAATAGTCCTGTCAGATGTTTATGGAAGAAATAATGTCACCTGTACACAAACTCTTTAAGCAAATACAATTATAAGAAAAACATCCCAACTCATTTTATGAAGCAAATATTTCCCTTATAATAAAGCCAGACAATATAAAAATAAAACAACTGCATCAGAGAGAGTAAAGCAGACTTTATTTTCAGTGTTCTAAAACACTAAGGGATGCCTGAAGGACTTTTTTCCCAGATTGGATCTCAAGCAGGTAGAAGTAATAGGTGTTGCTTGAGGAGGTTGCAGGGAGACTGGCCCTCAGCTAGCTGGAGTAAGAGATTTTGGGCAAGGACACACAATAGACCATCAAAGGCCTCAAGAGAAACTTACTTGGAAATAATGACACTTAAAAAGCAGTCATATCCTCAGGAAATAAAAAAAGAGTTACAAACATGCTGAGGCAAGATGCATGTCTAGGAAAGCCCTCATAAGACCTTTCTCCTTGGGCTGATTCTAAAATTTAGAACAAAGACCCTGTTAATTAGTGAAAAACATACCTGGCAATCTGCAAAGACTAGGTGAAGTGATTGTTTCCTCAAATTCCCAATTTTCAGCAGAAAACCCTATGAGGTATTGGGAGGAGGGGGGAACCCATTAAAAAAAAAAGGAAAACAAGGTCTTTTCAAAGAATGAAAATAAAGGGGCAGAAAATACAACTGAAGAATCACAGACATCAGACTTGCTAGAAAAAGACTTCAAAACAACCATCTTAAATATGCTTAAAGAACTAAAGGGAAACATGGACAAAAACTAAAGGAAATCCGGAGAACATATAAACAAAATGAAAATTCTAGAACTGAAAATACAACAACCAAATTGAAAAATCCACAGGTTCTCAACAGATTTGAATAGACAGAAGAAAAAAATCAAGGAACTCAAATATAGGACATTTGAAATTATCAAGCCGAGGAACAAGAAGAAAAAAGAATAAAGTGAAAAGAACCTAAAGGACTTATATGGCACTAACAAGCAGACCAATAGATGCATTATAGGAGTTACGGTGCAAGAGAAAAACACAGGTACTGGGGCTCAGGCTCAGCAGTAGCGTACTTGCATGGCATGTGCGAGGCAGTGGGTTCAATTCTCAGTACCGCAAATAAATAAATAAATAAA